CATCCACTGCTACCTCTGCATCTAAGGATTTGGTGACCTGGGCATAGAAGGCCACCAGGTTGGGTTTTTTGACTGGCAGAAATCAGTAAAGAGAGACTCAAGCCTTCCTTTAAACAAAGAGACAGAATCACATAGGAAGTCAGAATAGAACCCAGATTGTCTAACTCTAAGCCCTTGCTTTATCTCCAAGACCGACCTTCTCCTGTTAACCACATTAGTCTCTTCCAAGCTTTAAAAATGTTTCCACTTATATATGTTCATGTCTGTGTTATTAGAAAATTCATTTAAAACCATAGCAGACCTTATCTTCCTGGAGAGTGTAACAGCTGCAGTCAGCTGAAGTCACAGTGTGTGTCTCAGCTTGCATGGAACTAGCAGTGCCTTTCCACTTAAAGGATCTACAGTTGGACTTGCTCTCAGCAAAGAGGAAATCTGGCATTTCAGAGAATAAACTCACTCTATTCAAAAGCAAGCTTGATATTTAGGGACATTGCAACTTCAGCTAGATTTAAACCCATCACTGCTGAGAAAGACTGCAGAACTTGTTTGGAAGAAACACTGGATGTGCTCTGAAATGCCACAGGAACTCCACCAACACGGTGCCCAATATCCCTCCCATGGAAAGTTTGTGTTAGTTCAGGAAGAAAGGGATAATATTCACTTTCCATTAGAATTCCAGAAAGAGTATATAGGTATTGTACATGACACCAGAGACAAGCAGAAAGAAAACTTACTTCTTCCTTCGAGAGCTATTTCAAGCCCAGCTGTAGCTACTTCAGTGTCATGATACAGAATACACATGAAACAAAATGGATTGTTTTCAGGTTCAGCGTCCAATGGGACACTAAACATTGAAGCTAGAATAATCTCAGTTGTGGCAGATGACAGAACAGGGAGCAATGGTCTCAAGTTGCAACAAGAGAACTTTAGGTTGGTTATTAGGAAAAACTTTCTCACTAGGAGGGTGGTGAAGCACTGGAACTGGGTTACCTAGAAAGGTGGTGGAATCTCCATCCTTGGAGGTTTTTAAGGCCTGGCTCAATAAAGTCTTTGCTGGAATGATCTCACTGGGGATGGTCCTGCTTTGAATAGGGGGTTGGACTAGATGACTTCCTGAGGTCCCTTTCAACTCTACTTTTCTATGATTCTATGATTTAAGATTCTGAAAGCATGTGTTACAATTTACTGGTGGAGTGAAATAGACATCTTTCAAATGTGAAAAAAAACAGTTCATGTTTCCATTATTTTCCTAGACTTCATTGCCAATTTAAAGGCATGGTAATTTGTTTGGATTTATGTACACAAAAGAGAGGTGAGGGAGGACAGGAAGAAGCTAAGTGTGAGGTCTTTATAGCATTTGCCTTACCAAAAAAGAAATGTAATTAATTAAAGTTTTCAACTCCCACTGTAAGTATTTGAAAGTTCACCTCAACACCAAGAGCACACTAGACTATCTACAGTTATTTCCTAACAAAAATCATGTACCCCTCATACTTCGGCACAGTTTGAAATAAATATTCACTGTGGAAAGGGATTAAAAACAAAACAAAACCACTCTTTCTTAATAGTATGTATACTCTGAAGCACGATCAGTGTTTGGGATACTTCAGTTAAGTATCTCTCACCATATCCTTCAGAAACTAGGGCAGCAAAGGTTTCACTATAATGGAAGAAAAGGCTGAAGCTCTTGTAGGGAAATCTGAAAGCTTTCTGCATACTTCAGGTGGTACTCTTTGCTCTTCATGAGGAAGCCTAAGGACCCAACACCAACAAATAGAAAGAGTTCCATGGGCTTTTTTCTGCTTCTGGCAGCAGATCTTCTGACAACACGCAAGTCCCATTATTCTCTTAGTATCATGCCCTAGGACTAGGTCTTGGTCACTTGGAAATAGAATTAAATAAATACATAATCAGGAATTTACAACACATGAGAATTGCTAATTTCAGGAGAATGGAGGAAGAGAGGCATCTGTGCTTCTCAAGAGTGAACCAGTGGTTTTCATGTGTATTAATGGCTTTCTTCTCACAGAAGATGGGTTGTTGTATAAAATAATGTTAACTGGGATGTGTATGTGATAAAATTCCATACATTTCTAAGCAGGCTATGCATAATCCAATATTGTAGATGGGGAGAAGCTGATAAAAGATAGGTGGTAGGCCACAAGAAGGAGAAGAGCTATTCACAATGACAATATTAGCTTTTTGACGGATTAATTTTAGTTTTATGTCTCCATATGCTTTAAGCAGTTCCATAATTTCTAATTTGGTGCATCATTAATTAAATACATTACTTAGGAATCTGAAAATATGTTTATAACATCTTGAGTCCAGAGTTTGAAAGGCACAACTTCTAAGTCATCTGCCTGCTGAAAATCAAAGATAGGATTTAGAAATTGCTTCCTTATCATTGATAATAAGGATTAATTGTTTTGAGTATTTTCTTAGGCCCTGTTGCTTATCTGTTTTTCTTTCTTATGTTTTCTTGTCTGATCTGCCACCTGTCTGTCATACAGATTAGATCCTGCCTATAGGCACAACCATTAGGGCTGTGCAAAGCTTCAGTCCCTGATTCAATTTG